ACCACAGCGCCAACACCGTTATGTAGCACAGCGCCAACAGTTACAAGCATATTGCAATCGCTGATGGCAAATTAGGCCCTTTTTGCTTGCGGGCGGCTGTTGGACTACATACAAACATAGACGTTGGACGGAGGCAGCTGCTACTCAACGCTTTCGATGACTGCCACTGACGACTGGCTGTGTGCCCTGCTACTTCTGATGTATCTTGTTTTACCGATACGTTGGTACGTTGGCGAGGCAGCACAATAACAACAGCAACGTTGGTGGTGCATTAAATTAGTTTCGTGAGTATTTAAAGCAGGTCGAGTAAAAAAGTAGCAGAGCGTCTAATGGGAAAAGTTACAATCGAATTTTCCGTGGAACATCAAATTATGAGCGAACCGGAGGCAGTTGCGGGGGTGGGGGGGCGCAGTGGGTGTTGCATTACATTGAATCCGGCATTGTTGTGCTTGTTTTTACCGTTGTCCAAAACTCTTTTTCTGTTTGATGTTGTTGCCTTGGTTGCAGCGATGCTCGGCAGTTTGTTTACATTTTGTTGCGCTTCTCACCTGGCTTGTATTTCAAGCTGGCATGACAAATGCAAAAAAGGAAAATAAATGGAAACAATTGCGTTAATTTGCGTTGAGCTTATTAAACGGTACTTTACTTCAATCCTCATTAAAAAAAAAAAAAAATACGAACCTTTTCTACGCTTCCATTACATCTATGAATCCGCTTGCATTTAAGACATTTCCTCCAGCAAATTGCTGCCAGACTCCCTTGTTTATGCACACAATGCATCAGAAATTATATGCAAATATCGTAAAATAAAGCAAAAGGCGATTAGTTAAACCGTTGCATCTCCTCAAATATTTGCTTTGGCGTAATAGCCAGAATTACTCTACAACTCGTGCTTCAAATTCATTCTCCTAAGCCATAAATTACTTATCCAAATAGCTTCTACCAAATATATAATTTGAATCAATTTGTCTGCGCATTAAGGCAGTACATACGTACACACTTAAGTGAACGAGCGCTGTTAGTTCACAAGTACGTTCCTTTGGTATCTGAAGTTTCGCAAATAGAAAGGATTTATGAGCATCCAAATTGAAGTGAGCGATCAACGGTAGCAGCCAGCCAAATTAGCGGTAAGCGCCAGAAAATGGATCAACAGAATCTGAGTAGGTAGGTGTGTGTGCTTCGAAGTCACATTGCATCTGCAGTTGCTCAATTTCTTCTCTCGCCTCCGCGTCCGCATACCCGGGGCTTTTGGAGGAGGCCGATTGACGCTATACAGAGAGTTTTGGAGCAGAACTTTGTAGGACCGGCATAAATCAAATTCAAGTTCTGAGCGTCAGAGCGTCAGAGCGTGAGAATTGTTAAATGTCGTTGGAGGTGTACTTTTCTGCTCAGTCCGCTTATTTTGGCGAGCTAACGATTGTTAAATGTAAACAAAAGTGAATTCCTAGCCCATGCAATACCAGGAGTGGGTCTAGTTTGCCTGAAGGATTGGGACCCGCTACGTAAAAACTGCAATGTTCTCGGAATTCGGGCATCTCGGCGCCTACTATAGGTGACAGGTAAAGAAGTGAAAATTCGGTGTAGGAAAATGTCTAGTCTCGGAAAATGCAGTCTACACGACGATAACAGATTCAGGCTGATAGACACCCGAAGCGTAGAAGTTTTAGAACTAGGCTCCAGCACAAAGCGGTTTATTGCAATACATAGCTGTTTCCAAATCGTAACAAGTTAAGTCGCTTCAGACAAAAAGATGTCGCCTATTGGGCCATGCAGAACTACGGAAAACATTTCGCGTATGTCGATATATATACATGTGTATATGTATATTACTGTGTTCAACAATCGCGTCACTCTTGTCTAAATTAGATAAGAAAGCTAGTGGATCTGACGTTGAACGACGACAAAAAGATGCAGCTTCTCTCATTAAGCGAGCATTCGCATGCGATGAAAATACCAAGTCGCCAATTAGCAAGAAGAAATGTATGGTCTACCAAATCCCAGAAGCGTTTATAACGCAAAGGAATACGATAAACATATAAACAAATTTTCTGCATCACTATATATTAGGGCTGTGCGATTATTCGATTACTCGAGCAAGTTGGTTAATCAATTATTCGGTTAATCAATTACTCGAGTAATCAAAATTTTGATTACTCAAAACGATGATTAATCAAGTTACTTGAAATATGATTACTCAAAAAAAATAATTTTGCTCGTTAAAAGAGTTTGCTTTGGAAAATGCTTATTTTCTTTTTTAAATTCTGTATATGAAACAAATTTTTTTGTTTTAATTAAAAAAAAAAAACGTTGTTTTCAAAGTATCAAGGAACTTTAACTACTTTATACATATGTAAAAAGCTGAAACGTTGATTACTCATTTTACTCGAAATGTTGATTAATCATAAAGCAAATTACTCAAATATTTTTGTTTTTGGTTAATCAAAAATCTTGATTACTCGACTAACTGAACTTTTGAGTAATCATAATTTCAAATTAATCGAATAATTGAGTTATTTACTTTATGATTAATTAAAATTTTGAGTAATCAATTAATCGCACAGCCCTACTATATATATTTCTGGTTGGCCTGGCGGTGAATGAAGACAAGCCAAAAGGCGTACTCCTGGCAACATACAAAGAGTCCACGCATTTCGGGACACACGTCACTGTTGGCAGCTATAACATTGAAGTAGTGAAGGACTGTGTCTACCTAGGATCCAGCATAAACACCACCAATATCGTCAGTCTGGAGATCAAGCGAAGAATGACCCTTGCTAACAGATGCAACTTTAGGCTCGATAGGCAAATATTTAAAAAGGAGATGAAAAATCACGTTCTAAAAATCTCTCATCATATCCGTTCTTCTATATGGCGCAGAAACGTGGACGATGCTTTCGAGGGAACTATTCTACGCAAGATCTACTGCTCTGTTTGCGTGGATGACGCGTTACGGAGAAGATGCAATGAACGAACTCTATGAGCTTTTTAACGAAATGCACATAGTTAAGCGCATAAATATACAGCGATTGCGCTAGCTTTGGTATATTGTATGCATGATTGACAACGCTTCCGTGCAAAGACCCTTCAACTCCGCATCCATGGATGCGCAACGAAAGCAAAGGAGCCCAGGAATAAAAAGGGGGGACCAAGTGCAAAAGGACCTGTCTGCACTCGGGATGAGCAACTGAGCCAATTCGAAAACGCCCTACTTCACAATTCGGTTCGGGTGTTTTCGAACAGGCTGTCGAGGTAGGACGATCTTCCACTCAAGTGTCGATTATTAATAGATTAATTTCAATATCGATATATTTTTCAATGCACATCACTTCTGGAGCCTTGCAACGACATATAAATTAGGTAGGATATTTCACAGACTCTTACACAATTCTAAATGTTACACAACAATTTATCGTACATAACTACTTATGTATAAAATGCCTTTGGGAAACCCAAATCGAGTCCTAGTGTGGCACGATTTCATTCATTTTCCTCAAATATCGAAATGAAAGACAACACACACTAGCAACATTTCATTGCAACATACGTGGAGTACCTTGCACCAACCGCTCTTCATGTCACGAACTGTCACGCTCGAATGCATTCACATATGTATATATGTACATTAAGCCGGATCACCAAAAAAAATTCAATTTGTTCCAAGCGATTTTAAACAGTCACTATGAGAGTATTTCAGAAGTTTAAATATTCGGCTCTATCGCGAATTTCACATAAACAAATGCTCCCAAAAATTTAAAATCAAAACAATTTTTCCCAATTTGTTTTCCTTTTGCACGCTAAATTATGGGAACAATTTATTCACATGGAATTTGCGATAGGGCTGATTGTATTTTTTGGCACCATATTAATACAGCTAAATCAGTTGTAAAAGTAAGCTTACAATTTCCTAGTGGGCGTTCAAAGCCGTTTAAAACAAATTGGATTTGTTTCTTCCCATTCATAGTGATACGGTCTAATGTACATACGTACATATATACAAGTATGAAAGTAAAAATTTCCATTAAAGATGTTAGAAAAAATCACGACAGCCAGCGCTTTTATATTTCCACGCTTGTCACTCTTTCACTCAGCAACGCTAATGCTTCTTTGCATCTTTTTTTCCAAATTTCGAAATCACCTTTGCCTACTGGTGGCGTAGCAACGGGATATCAACCACGCAAGTTAAAGCAGCGGCTGTGCCAACAACAAAGATGACCGGCATGAGCAGTCATTGGGGGGCGTGTAGGGTCAACATTATTAGCAATTTTGTAATCACTAGGGAATTGCAAGCGAAATTTTGATAGCAAAACCGGTGGCGTTAGAATGAAAATCGCTGAGCATTAAACAGTAAATGAGCCACGCCAAGCGTGTTCTCTACTGGTCATACTGGCCATTATATTTTCGATTACAAATAAATATTAAGAAACAAAGCTTTGAGATCGTGCCAAACGTATTTCAGTTTATATTTAAATTTATGGAAGTAAACATTGCAGTTTTCGTATAAAAAATATAACCGCATCAACCACTCACATCAAGGGCAGGGTTTAGTTGTTTATTTGAGAGTTTTGCAATTTTTTTTTATTTCTTTTTTGGATTTCGAATATATCAGAAATTTACCTATTTTCAAGTACTTGTATGGATTATTGATATTATTGCTGCTCAAATTCGAGAAAATTCTGTGTGTACCCACAGAAACTGCACACAGTAACCGCATAAATCGATAAAAAGTGTTGAGAAATAAATTCAAAGCATACGAAATGTGTCACACAAAAATACAATAACGCCTGATGATTTAAAACATGTCAAAATATAAAATAAAATAAATGATTTGGACCACTAACTCTTGGTGCTGTCACCGACTGCGAGTAGGTGACTCTATTTTGTATCTCACTTCAACAAACAAAAAGTCGCCACTTCCGTCATTTGACTGACTGATGACTTCGGCGCACTTAATTTTCATTCAAGAAAGAATAGAGTTCCATTTGATGGGTATTTGGGTACATTCAGTTACGAGCTATTTGTGCAGCCGCTGCTTGTTGCTGAAATTCGTTGAGTATTCGGCTGTGTGGTAGATCCGTCTCAACGCGGCTGCCCACTACATCGGTGGCCGAGGCCGGCTGGTGTTCCTGATCGAAAAAGATGTCAATAATGATGCGCACGCCTGGAATGAGTTTGCAATATACACAAAATTAGCAGAATAACTAAATGCTGATTGTTTGCGATAGACAAATAGTTAGCTTAAATGGCCAAAAAGGTTTGAAACTTATCTAGACATAAAACATTCAAATACTTAAGTACTCGTGTGTATTAGAGGTCTGCATGCAGAAAATTAAAACTTCGCGTAACTCGGCGAGGTTACCCGGCGACCCTCTCTTTCCTCAAATCTGTGTTTCGGGACTATTGCTAAAGTTTGCATGTCTCGGCACGTGAAATTTTATTTTGTATTGATGGTTTTAAACGAATGTTAATGGTTATCTTTTTGATGCTTGCTTAAAGGAATTTCTACCCTGTCAAATTCGGTTTGGAAAGAAATTTTTGGTGTAATTTTCCATTCTGTTGATTTTTTTGTCACTGATAAAATATGAAACGATGCGTAATTTTCGGCATCTGTCGACATTCTACGGAGAATTCCGATATTTTTTGGGATATTTCTTTTTTTAATTCTACATATTTTTCAGAAATTTGAGTTTGGGAGTTTTCAGAAATTTTCGCCGTTTCTTTCGTGATCTTCCGGGTTTTTTCAAAGACATTTCGGTTTTGTTTTTAGAATATTCAAGGAAATTTCTACAACATCCTTCATCAGTCGTTTTGTGTTTAGTTTATTTTTATTTTTTTGTTCTAAAGGGGAAAAATAACGTTTTTTTCGCACCTGAAGATACATCTAGCCTACGGAGGCTTCATAGCAAGGTACCAGCCAATTTTTTTGTTGCTCATCTTGTCTGAGTACTCCAATTATTTATTTACTTGGTTTTCAAAATCTTCACATCCCTTCAGTGGGTTTATTCGAGTAAGAGTAAGAGCAGATATACTTGCGGGGAAAATTTGCCTGCGAAGCAAAATGTCTTCCATTGCAGACCTCTAGTACTCGTACATACATACATATGTACATATATGCATATATTTTATGGTTGTTTCGGGTAGAAACAAATCAAACCTAATTTTATCTTATCAGAAAACGCACTTATTTTGTTGCTAATCGTAAGTTTTGCGAAAACGTGCAACCGATAAAGTTATGCTCAATCATCGATTAGGCGCGGTGTATTATACTCCACTTGCAAAAATTCAACGTAGTCAGTAACAATGATGCAATGAAATTAGTATGCACATATTGCTCATTTGCTGCAAGAGTGTGAAAATCGAAAAATAACAATTTTTTTTATTTTACAGAAGCAAAAAACATTATAAAAATGATATCAAAAAAAGGTAGAGCTTTTTAAAAAGTGGCATGTAACTCCGCTGTTTTTGTTACTTACACCTTGAATTTTTTTCATGAAAAGTATTTAAACATAACTATCGTACCCAAAATAGTGAAAACGCAGTTTCGACAAAAGTGTTGGTTAGGGCCTTTGTGAATTAAGGTAGCGATATGTAAACTGTTAACTATTATGCAGTTATTTTCGAGTTGTGGGCTTTTTGGATGATGACATTCTTGCAGCAAATGAGGGAATATATACATATTTATTTACATATGTACAAATACATATGTGAAATTTTACTAAAGAATAACACCTCTTTCATTTCCGCGCAAACATATTCTGAGCGTTCAGAATGTATGAGTCCGAAAGGAGTTCTAGGTAGGTAAGAAATATGAGTTTTAAAAGCAAAAACTTGTTTACTCTTATATGAATCCTTTAGGACTCATATATGATCCAAGTTATGAGCCAGCACCTTGTGCCAATATGAAAACAAGTCGTTCACACTTCGCTTTTGCAGTTCACCTATCGTATGTTGAATATTCACCAAGCGGAGTAATTCACTTCGAATCATGTTCACACTAACGTATAACGTATTCACCTGTGAAATAATTTATACTCGCACATATAAAATCGCAAAACAATTGCCAAATTTTCCAGTGAAATTTATTACCAAATATTCATGATAAGGCAGAATATAGAATCGAAATTTATATCTAAACTTGTTTATACAGAAATTGAAAATAATTACAAAACAAACAAGTAAGAAAGTCTAAGTTCGGGCGGAGCCGAACGTTAAATACCCGGCGCACGTATCAAATATATGTTTTTCACCTTTCCGAAAGCTACCGCTAGATGGTAAGCCGGGGTGTATCAATTTTGAGTAAATTGGTGTCCTTAAATTTCAAATTATTGAAGTTTCAAGCATCTCTGAAATTTACCGTTATATGAAAAGCGGCCGTAATTTTAGTCCCATTCCAATAATTTTCAACGGTTTTCTTTTATGTGGCAAGCACAATAAAAATACCGAGTTTGGTACAAATTGGTAG